ATTTGCTGTCTCCAGTAAAAACCCAGAAAGAAGCACACTGAAAAATATTAATCTGCTTAATCTTTGGCTAAGAGAGGAACCAACATTTTCTACATTTACATCTATATCAGGCTGAAATGCTGAACTAGTTGGTTTGTCAAACATTTGTAAGTCTCTCCCATTGAACTATATGGGATAACTTTTGCAACAATAACTTGGTTTAGAAATACATAAGGCTCATTTCAGAAGAAAGCATTCCATATAGTAACAACAAGTAAATGCAAACTTACATGAAAAGAGCTATTTCCAAGTGCCAAATATTCAGTTATTCTGAGACAAGGTAGATATTTAATTTGAAGTATAGTAGAGGGCATACATTTGATTTTATTTATCTACTTTACTGTGATTTCAAATAACGATGACTGTAGTTCTTACACACCTTGAAGGCACAGCACTACTTGACCACCTAAGTGGATCAGCCTTGGCTTTTCAATTGTGATAAAACTTACAAGGAGTTAGAAGTCTCTTTAAAAACCTCTATTGAGTGCAGAAAGTAGCATTTTTCAGATTTTAGTGGTGTAAACAGGATCATTCTTGAGATCAGTGATTGCGGCTGAGGTACAGGACAGTGAATGATGAACAGTAGAAAGGTTATGGCTGCAGAAATCTGCACCAGCCTTGAAAATAACTTGCAGTCGCATCTCAGTTTCTCTTCTACCAACATTTATTTTTCATTTTTAACATGATACTCTTAAAATATTTGACCCTTCTTGTAAAACAGCACAAGCTTATTACGAAAGTGTCACATTTCTTTTCCCGCATGTCCATATACCATGCATGTTAGGATTAGACAACACTTTCAGTAGAACTCTAATATTCTCTTCTTGTAGTAATGAACCTTCCACCCACCCCCAACAGTGCTGTAATTAAGAGAGTAAAAACATGCAAAACACTAGCATAATTTGAATTACAGTTAGTGTCCATCCTTTAGTAAGTACTCACACACAGAGAACCAAAAGAATTAGCTTTAAACCATGGTTCAAACGTATTAGTAAATATATATGTATTTGAGTTAATCAATAAGCCTTACATGCTTGTTTAAAGCTTTCATTCCTTTAATTTTATTAACTTTATACTTAACCATACTTCTATGAACTCCTGGTCTTGGTAAAAAAAGTTTTAAACAACCTAAAATGATAGCATGTGGAAATAAAAAAAAAAAAGTAGAAAAATGTATTAAATTACCTGAAAATAATAAAATAATAATAATTAACCTTGTTAAAACTACAGGTTAAATGACTTTCTACTAACAAAAAACAGCAAAAATTTCACTACATATTGGATAATAGAAATCATTTTACAAATAACTACACCATTTTCTTTAAATACAGCCATATGAACTACATCTACTGGTCTTCTCTTAGCTCATACTCTTCTAGTAAGTTCCGTTAAGAAAACTTGATGTTAAGCCTAGCAAAGTGTATATGGATTACTTTGTACAAGGGGAGAAAAAGACACAGCAAGTCATTGCCACTACCGTCACACAATCTCCCACATTTTGTTCCCAACTGGTGAATAATCCAGAACTCTGCAGCAGTGGCCCCATCGACACGCTTCTCTGCCAGATAGCTTCTACTGAAGAAATGCCTCAACTTTGAAATACAGCCCTTTAGTAGAAAACCGAAATAAAGTACTCTGGAACACTAAAATCCTCGATCTGCACAAAGCAAGGGTAAAATAATTACTCCAGCATAGTTTTGTGGGTTTTTTTTATTACTCTACATCAATTCATATTAGCTCCATCTACACATTTCAACTAAAGAGAAGAGTGGTGGAATGTTAAAACTGCTGAAAGACAAAGAAAAAAAAAATTAAAATTAAAAAAAAAATCAAAAAAAGAAAATGACCTGCAATAAATGATCTTACCACGTGTTGTGAAACTTAACTGCCTCTTAAGAAACCCTTGCAACTTCCACTTTTGAGAATTTTGCCATCTAATTCTAGGAGGCCAGGAACCGTTTCATGCATCAGAAATGTATCATTAGCTACCAAAAAGCCTCTACCAATTTTGATTAAAATGTCTGCACTTCTTATCTAAAAGAAAGACTTCTTCCACACCCAAAAGCAAGTAAGTTCAATCTTTACAACTTAATCAAACATTTCCCCACCTAGGGCTTTTTAAGCACAACTTTTTTTTCCAGGTCACTGAATTTTTCCACTGCGCCTGGTAAAGTACTCAAAGTGCTATGTTTGAGCATCTTCAGGATCAGACTGCCTGGTCTTTTTGCTCTTGTACAGACAAAGGCCACAACTTAACAAAAGTAGAACAAGTGAAAACTGCAACAACTGGTGTGTCAGATCTACCAGGGAACCACCTGTGTTGCAACATATGTCAGAGTTTATGAAAATTACTTCCTTGAGAGTAGCAGGCAGGTCCCGTTTTGTTTGAAGTGCTTTTATTGCAAGTATTTCCTTCAGTTTTACAAACTGCACCTTCAACAAACACAAATTTCTTTAACAGAGTCAACGCAAGCATGACAATTCTTATTAACTGTAAGCTTCTACTTAAATTTAGCTTGCATTCAAACATTTTTCTACACTGCTAGTGTATATCAGCAACTTAAACAAATCTTACTGTCTCATTCAGGTTTTGGACAGCACATTCATAATGTGGAGAAGCTGTTTTAGAAATGTACATGATTTATGTAACCACAACTGACTCCGAATGTCTTTTTCTTACAGGCACATTACTACACCATCATCTCAGTAACCAAATATTACCAGTTAAGAAAATACATGGCTTGTCAACAGAATCTGCCCTGCAGAACCCATCTTTCATAATCTGGTTGTGTAATAATTTCAGACTCTACAGAACTTTAGTGCTAGAATAAGCCTGAGCGATTAAGGAAATGCCTTTGCGCAAGAAGTACTCAGTATTGTAGCATACATGAAACAGGAATAAAAATCTTGAGTAAAACTACTTTTACTGTTTCTTCATCAGTATGGGGAGAATGGTTTTACTATTGAATTTCATGGACCACAAAAGAGAAGGCTGTAGCAAGATCCTTATTCTTTAATAGCACAGCTGACAAAACAGAAATAATTTTATCTGTAGATAAAGCAAGTGATACTATACAAGCTCTGGGATTTGCCTAAAATACACTCTAGAAGATCAACACTGAAGCTGAAGCTCTACAAAGTAGATTTAGCACAATTTTTCTTACCTACAGTTTCACACAGGCTTGCGTAACATTGCCTGTACATTGTAGCATTGAAACAAATCAAGCATTAAAAGAGCAATTGTTGGGTATCCTGCACTTCCCTTTCCAGACTGGAACAAACAAGCCACGGCTTTGTAAAAACCTGCTCCTGTGCCTGGCTGAGAGTTTCTCCGTGTCCCCACTGCATTTTACAGGAAGAACCAGAGGAGCGTTTCCATTTGCTGCATGCAAAAGGAATGAGTAAAGTTCAGTTTCTGTAAGCCTTGAGAAAGGGCCACGTGGGTAGCTCACGCCACACAGGGTGGGCACTGTAAGGCAATTCAAAGGAGCAGCTTTAAAATACCATACACCACCTTCTCCACACAAACCTCAGCATCAGAAGGGTTCCAGGATTTCTTCCATTTTTTTTTGTTTAACGCTACAGCCAGTTTCAAAGAGGTCCAAAGGAGGAAATTGTAACAAGATGGGATATATTAAAAAAAGATGAAAAAAAGGCAGTACTCCACGTGGAAGCACTCAAATACGTTATTCAAGCAGAAAAAATGGCTTTGATTTTACATGAGTAAAAGCGGATTGTTTGCAGAATTTTTTTTCCATAGGTAAAGCACGATCAAAGGAAGGATAAGTCTGGAATCTGCACACATCAGAGCCTCCGCTAAATCCTGTCCAGAGGCCTGAATAAACTGCCCATTGGAGACCGAGGGCATTTCACAGATAATCCCACTTGGGCTCACTTGAAATTCTGTGCGGAATTAGTTCCAATTGACGGGCACGGAATGAAAAAGAAACCGTTTGTGCCTCGGGCACAAATTCTTTGGTTTCCAGCCCTGCACCAACTCCCCATTCCCGTCCCCTCTCCGCAATCACAACACCCGCCGGCCCCGAGCCGGGCGGCCTTTACCCGCGGGAGCACCGCACATCCCCGCGCTGCTGACCCACAGTCGCCATTTCCCACTGTAGCACCTCCACATCACCCCCGACATGCCGGGGACAGTGTGGGTGTTATGGGGTAGAGGTTCTAGCGGGATTCGGCCGTGACCACCGCAGCATCACCCCCCGCCGTCGGGGTCCCTTTCCCCGCGCAGCGCACGTCCCATCCTGCGGCCGCGCCAGTCCTCCCGGCAGCCGCGGGTAACGGTGTCCTGCAAAACGGCTATAGAATAGGGACCGGGATCTCTGCTCTCGGAGCCAACAGCGTGACCCTAGGCAGCGGGTAACGGGCTAAGGGAAGGCGGCGCAGCCCCTCCCGCCGCCGCTCCGCCTCGATGCATGCCCCGGGATGAGGGAGCGCGGCTCGCCGGACTGGCGGGAGCCGCGGGGCCTGTCTGCGGCCAATGCTGCGGGGCAGCCGGTCCGCCTCACTCACCCAGAGCCGGCCGCAGTGGTGGCCTTGATGGAGCTGATGCGGAGCCGGTTGGCCGTGTCCTTCAGGGCCTGCAGGGTCTGCTGGTCGGGCTTGTGGTAATCCTCCATGAGGTCGAAGCAGCAGGGCGGCAGCGGCGACGGGGCTGGGCAGGCAGGGCGGCAGCAGGCAGCGCGGCTCGCCGGGCCGTGCGCGGGGCGGGCACAGGCAGCGTGCGAGAGGGCGCGGCTCCGTGCCCCACCTCCCGCCTGCGCCAGGGCGCCCCCTGCCGGTGGCAGGAGGCGCTCGGGGAGCCCGCCCTTGGCCACGCGCAGGCGCCATTTCCCCGCCTCGCGCGGCGGTCCCTCAGAGCCCCGCACTGGAAAGTGGGGCGGGCCGTTCACCGTCCGGAGCGCTGCTGGATGCCGTTGTTGCGTTGGGATTCCAGCTCCAGCCTGCTCCTGTCTGTAAAAGAACTGACTGCATCCAACGCCTCTGAACGGTAACTTTGCTCCTCTGCGATCAGTAGGAGAAGCAGTTTGCTTCAGCAAAGCTTGCTTTGTCTTTTTGCATTGTAGCCTGCCTAAGCACAATCCTGTAGGCCAAGGGAAGGTATGTGGGTTCCTGGAACTGTGAAACAAAGAGGAACAAGGAACTTTTGCGGTCGGGAGTTGGGGTTCGTCTTCGTCTCAATCCTATGAATATGTAAAAGGGTTGACTATAAGGAACTTTGTACCCGTAAGTGAGTATGCGGGGTGTGAACGCATGCCCCCAGCGTTGTAATAAACTTTAGCTCCACTGACTTTGTCCCCAGTTAAATGTATCTAGATGTAAGCGCATTTCTCACACTCTGCACAGGAGGAACAGTAACTAAATTACCCTGTGTGGCTGCTTTCCCTCCAAAAAATAAATTCCTATTTCTAAAATATATATGTTTAAAAATCTGACAAAACCACTTTTGCATAAAAGATGGACTTCACCAGCCATCAATCACAAAATGCATTTTTTTTCTAGCAATTCTGAACACAGTGACATTACAGCTTACAAACCTAACCAGCAAGTTGAATATTTCAAACTTGTTCCAGAAAGCTCAAGCAGCAGTACTGACAATCTGAAAAAAAATAATAATAAAATGCTTAGACAACAAAAAAATACTAAATACCTCACATTTTGCTCATACCTTCACTACACTCCCCATGTATTTCAGTGTTATGTCCATTGGTAGTTTGTCCAGAAGGTTGTATTGTGTAATTTAAAAGTATTAATATACTTTAAAATCTTTTAAATGTAAGCTGTTACATCTAGTAAATTAGGGCGATCATCTAATTTCAGAAAACACTAGTGGTGTGTGCCATTTACATTAGAAAACCTACACTTCTGTCTGTAAGGCTCCTCAGAGTTTGGATTTCAGACAGAAAGGAAGCCACCTGTATTTACAGAGCATCCATCCATGCGCACCTCACAAACTGCAACTAACAAGTTGCATGTGAAACACTTAGCAAGGCAAGGTAACACTTTTTCCATAAACCAGTTTACTGGAACAAATAAAAGCAGGCACCATTCCCTTAGCTAAACTGTTCCCTTAAACTGCTCCATCATCTGTCTTTTAAAAAATTCTTTCAATAAAAAAAACTCAGAAGAAAAACTAGACTGGAAATAGGCTGTATGCCAGCGAGAAGGGGAACAAGTCAAAGAACGGGAATTGACAGTAGCAGTGCAGTTAATTTCAGAGCACTGTATAAAGGCTAGTTGCTGCAACTGCCATTTCCTATTCTCCTATTTATATTTTACTTTAAAATAATTAGGTATGCCAACTACTTCCTTTATCTTTTGCAGAACCAGTTACCCCAATCTTTTCATTTCAGTGATACACTTTTAAGGGATACAGACAATAAAATTGGGATATGGAAGAGCCTGATGAGAATCACATAAGCCTTGGTTTAAATTTAGGGACTCTGCAGACATGGCCTATAATACCAAGAGCTTCCAACAACAGAGCAATGCCCCTTGGAAATTAAATAATACTCAACTAGAAATTAGCTAGTAGGTGTAGGAAACCATAGCAAAGAGATCCTAGCTGAGAAAACATATGATAGAATGACACACATGACAGAAGGAATTAACAGCCTTCTTAGTAGCAGTGTCCCTACAATATTCCTGTTGAAATCCACTTCAGTTCAACAGCACATGGTCTTCTTTTGTCCTCCCAGGGAGATGGTACCCAAAAGAATATGTTCAGCAAGGGACTATGAAGAATCTCAAGAGTTACAAGTAGAATCTACAAGAGAATCTATAAAACCTACCTTAACTACTGGAGAAGTAAAAGTAAGCTTTAGTTCCCATTAAAAGATCCTCAACTGAACCTTATATGCTCTATGCTATAGACCTGCAGATTTCTTGCTAGGGATCTGTCTGTGCCATAGCTTCAAATATGCCTGAAATAATTCTAATCTTGTAGAGTGAGCATTACTGATCTCTTCAAGGAAGTTACATAACTTTCCCTCTTCTCCTTGTCCTTACTTGCATCCTTTCCACTACCATTTGGTCTTTCTCAAGGCAACACTACATTTGATTCCATCTGCAGCCATATGGTCAGAAGGTAAGTGTAAAGTAGCTTGATGTCCTGGAATAAATCTCCTGATCATCCCTGCTTACTGTGGTTTGCCTTGCCCTGCTGAGCAGTTTTGGAGCTTGTGAACTGGATTCCTTTTAAATAAATACGAAACAGAAGATTCAGTCTGAGAAAGCAGCTAATATGCCCCAGCCATTAATTCAGTCCAAGAGGACTGACAAGAATGAGCCTGGGGCAGAATTCAAACACACAAATATAGTGCATATGTTGAGTTCAACAGTCTTATGTGCTCTGTAGACCTGCTATACTGGAATCTCCTATCTGCTGATGTAGGTGAAGCTACAGAACTATGTTACTAGCACAGCAGCATTTCTTAGCTTGAGCTCTGCTCCATACTCACTGGTTAAGAGCAGTTGTTAAACTACTAGGTGTGCTAGGGAAGTGAATGGCAAGTTTTCTGTCAGCCCTGCTGTTTAAACACTGTTCTTTAGACAGATGCTGACATATGGCTTAACCACCATCCCAGTGACATGAATAACCATGTCAGTTGAGCAAGGCTAGGCAGGATAACCTGGTCTGTCTGTGGGTTAGAAGAACTGCATGAAGTAAGGTCTTCAAACGAGGCTAAGCATAAGTGAAATAATGGCTATTGTGTTGATTGCAGATACATAAAGAATGTATGGCTTACACCCTTCCAGTTTCAGCTACAGGCAGTAAGTTTCCCTAAACTTCCAAAACACATTTCCATCAGAAAAAAAAAAAAAGTTTAATTAGAGATATAGGTACTTCATCTTTCTGGATGGCTTGTAGTATAAATACAAACAGTAGAGAAACATAATGGAAGCAGGTATCATGAGAATAACCAAGTAATTTCTACACCGTATTTTTGCTTCTTGTAGATGAATTTACTCCATGTTTCCTCTACATATATAAGCATTGCCAGGCTGTTACTGTTTCTCTCTGCATATATCATTTGTAGTGGCAAAGTGAGGAAAGAGTCAACTAAAATACAGTTTAGTCACACCCTGCTCCTTAGTCAGTGTCCTTTGTTTTTCCTCACAGTTCTTTTAAATATAAACCAAATAGATCATAGCCTCAGTTTTGGCTTTATTTGTCCAGACTGATTTAATTCTCTGTCTGAAGAGTAAGGCCTGTGATGAAGTCTCTGTGATTAAAGTGAAGATGTGCTCTTGAATCTCCATTGTAAGGATGGCTTCCTAACCGTCTCCCAGATGTAATGTAGCAATAACAATCATATCAGTTGCCTTCACGGGCTGGACATATGGTGCTTTCTTTTTTCCCTTCTGTAAGAAAATAAGGGGGATGATCTGGATAAGACCAGTATTACTGTGGCTCACAACTTACTTTGTTTCCTCCATTGTTATCTGGATGGTAGAAAGATTTTAAGATAGATTTAGCTTAGATAATGTCATTGGGAGATTACTGCCTGCAACTCGCCTTCCCTTCCCTGAATCCACATGCTGCATCACCGAGTGCTTATGTACTGTATTGTGTTATTAAAACAGCAGCTCAAGCATACACAGGATGAAATTCCACCTTGTGTCAGTGCCTCCGCTTTGATCTACTGAATTGGCATGTTACTTCTGCAACTTTGACCAAGTGTGATGAACTGTAAAGCAACAGCTAAAGTCATGGTATACACTGGGTACAAGAGTCAACATTTCTTCTACATTCTTGGCACTTGCCTCTGAAACCACATAAGAAATTATTAGAACAAGGATGCAAATGTAAGGACAGGTCTTGCTTCAGGCTATATAATCACATCTCATTAGCTTCACTACTGATTACTAGACTGGACAGCTTCTTAAATACATACACAGGACAATGGGATTTTTCCATCCCCTCTTGCACACATTTCACAGCCAGAGCATTATGTGCAGCAGAAGCACAGAAGCCGAGTTATGGCTGTCATTTGCCAAGACACTGCAAAAATGCATTGCTGATGTAAGTACAGGCACCCGTTTACCCAAGCAGGAGCTGCATGTGCTCTGCACTGCTGAAATTTCAGGCTCTTTTTCATAGTCCCCAGTTTTACCTTAAAAACTGTTCTCAAAAGGAATTCCAAAATCAAACTCCAGTAAGAACACTGAATGGTTAGGTAGCTCACCACCTACAGAATCCAAACAGTGAGTAAAGAAAATGAGTGGAGGCATGGGAGGAGACCAGTGGGCTGTATGATTGCACTTTAAGCACTGTATGGATTCTACACTGAATGGCAATTTGCCAATCAGCTGGCATGGATTTGAGTTCTGAACATCTCCTATAGTGTACATTGTTTCATTTCATATGCAGGGTACCTTAAAAAAATGACAAGTTATATGGTGGAATTCCAGTTATTATAGTCTCATTTATGGGAATACAACAAATTCTCAGAACAAATCTGGTGCTGCAGCTTTTCCAGAGATTGACTCCATAGTGTCACACCTGGCTCAAAATAAATTCTGTTTGTCAGTGACAGCAAATGGTTTTAGTTAAGCACAAGTGCACACCCAAGTAAACACTCTATGAAAAGAATATTCAGCAGGCTGTGAAATAATGATCAGCTCTGCAGTTCCCACTGGAGCATGAAAACCACTTTAAACATCCTTTACTTTCCATAGAACAGCAGTTGTTTCTGCTACACAGGCTACTAACAGCTATAACCAGCAACCTGGAAAATGTAAGGTTCTTATGCAGCACCTGACCCAGAAATATCCAGACACAGAAATCAGTTCACCTTTGAAGTCTATGAGAGCAAGATATAAGTTACATAAATCCAGACTATATTCATAGTTCAACTCAACTATAACCTTCTCCTCAGATACAGCTGACAAAGTAATCTGCAAAAGGCAAAATGTTTATGGAAAGCTTCATAATGAACAGACTATTTTTGAGCTACAGGCAGCCAAACATTCGATAAAAATAATTTT